ACCTCTGGTCTGAAGCAATTCTAGAGAAGATCGCTGCCTTGTGTGGTGGGAATTTGGGTGATGTTTGGCATTGATGATGATTTCTCACATCATCATCGATTTTTGGAATCATTGATTTTCCAAAAATCACCATTTTTGGTTATTTGTTATCATGTCCTCCATGTCGGCCTATTTTTGGGAAATCACCTTTGAGAATGTTTGGTATTGATTATCAAGAGTGATTATTTTTCATTGAAATTATTATTCCATGTACTGCACTACCATTATTATTGGGAAACACCCTTGTCATGTAGGATGCCACTTTTTTTTTTATCAATAACCAGAAATTTCATTAATAATGAGCAAGTCAATACAAGAGAACATCCAGGAGAGAGATAAACTCTCTCCAAGATGACAATAGAGGACAGCAATTACAGAATAGCCCAGAAAAGTTTATCCCTTCCCACTCCTTGCTTTGCCAAGACATCGGCAAAAGCATTTGCACTCCTTTTAACCTACTGCAACTTGATCTCCATATCCTGAGTTAAAAACTTAAACTTCCTCTTTTCATTAACAAATTTCCACCAGCCAGTCTCGTCTTTCTGCAGCCAGCTAACTACCAGCTTTGAATCTCCTTCTATGATCAACTTTCTTATATTCAGCTCCTTTGCATTTTGGATCCCTTCCATCCTCTTTTCATGTAGGATGCCACATCACCACACAAAAATCAGAATCACCTGAAAACCGAGGAATCACTAAAAGTGGTGATCCCTCACTCAGGGCTCAAGGATCAATTTTCTAGTGATTTCCCAGAAATTGGCATAACCGGCCAACCAAACAGAAGAAGAAGAAGAAGAAGAAAATACTGATTCTTCAAATGCTGATGTGTGTCCGATGTGGCACTGATTCTTGGGAAATCGGCATCGATGCCAAACATTTCCTTGGTTGCCTTGAATATGCAGGACCTTAGGGTGGTGAGGTTAAGCCTAACATGGGTAAAGACAGAGAAGGTAGAGATGGGGGTGATGAGGGTATTTTGGAAGGAGGAGATTCATGGGCTGATATGGAAGGTACAGCAAAGGAGCCAGGGTTAGGAAAAGGAAAGTTTTTACTTCCTGCTGGAAAAACTTCTAAAAGAAAAAATAAGTACAGAACTTTTCCATTGGTAGAAAGATAAAGAGGTTGAAGTTGAAGGGGGGGGGGACCTAAGGAAGATGATGGTGAGATGATTTTGGATGAAACTAATGAGATTGGAAGTGAAATAGATTTGGAGACAGTGGTGAATAAGGAAGTGGAAGTTAGCAAAACTTTGGGGCAAGTGAGCAGATGCCTAATGTAGTTACAAATTCAATAATAAGAAACATCTCCGAATAGCCCATGTTTCAAGAGTGTTCAGCAGATTGAAGTTCGGTTTGCTTGGGGAAGGTCCTACTAAGAAGATAAAGAAACCTAAAAAACTGAGAGTGAAGCTTCACTCTACAGGAGTTGAGGAATGAGTGGGTTCTCTTTTGGGGTTGGGTTGGGCCTTGTGGCTTGAGGGTCATTTCATTGATTGGTTTTTAAGGGATTTTGTGATGTTGTCTTCTATTTTGGGTGTTATCAACAAGTTTTTTTCTTTTTTGCTTGGGATGGTGTTTTTGTTTGTCAGAAGGGGTTTGCTTTTTTTGATTGGTTGTTTTATTTGGGTGTTGTTTGTTGGTTTTAGGGGTTTTTATTGGGTGATGCCTTATCACCATCTTTGTATTTCATAATCTTCTCTTTATCTTCATAAATTTTCTTCTTTACTCATCTTCAAAAAAAAATGACATTGTTGTTATTGGTGGTGATTCACAAGAAGTTTATAGCCTCAAGAGGTTTCTTAACACTAAGTTTAAGATTAAGGACTTGGAGGAGTTCAAGATATTTTCTTGGGAATTGAAGTTGCTCGATCAAAAGAATGCAGCTTCCTTTCCCAACAAAGTATATCCTTGACCTTCTCACTGAAACCAGCGAACTTGGTGTTAAACCTACTTCTACACCTATAGATTTGAATCATCAGATTTGGCCAATGATGGTGAGTTATTAACTAACAGGTGAGTGTTCCAAGGAATTCTTGGGAAATTATTATGGGCCCGTTTGGCGCGTCTTTCTGCACAGTCTTTCGGCTGTTTACAAGCCACGAAGACCAATTTTCGGTCTATTTCTGTTTGACGCGCAGAAGATCTAGCCGCCAAAAGATGGAACGCTGAAAAGACGCGAGAAGCCATTTTGGGCTGATTTCGGGAAGCTCCAAATGAAGCTTCTCGCGTCTTTTGCATTTTAATATCACACGGAAAGATGCGCATCTGCCAAACGTGCTTTGGGCTGCTCAGATCTTCATGCAAAAGCTCAATGCATCTTTTGCATGTCAGAGCTACTAGAAGATCTTCCCAAAAAGACACGCCAAACAGGCCCTATATTTTGTACGACACAACCTGGTATCTCCTATATTGTGAGTGTATTTAGTCAATTTATGCATGCTCCTAGAGACATATGGCAGCAGCAAAAAAGGTTTTATGTTACTTAAAGGAAACTCCAGAAAAGGGCATTCTCATTGCCAAGCATGGAAATATGAAATTGGAGGCTTATATAGATGTTGATTGAGATGGTTGCATAGATGATAGAAGAACTACATTAGGTTATTGAGCTATGGTGGTAGGGAACATTGTCTCTTGGAGAAGTAAGAAGTAGTCAGTGCTAGCTAGATCATCAAACTACAGGGCTATGGTCCATGGTGTTTCAAAGTTGTTATAGCTAAGATCTCTCCTAGAGGAATTAAGCATTCCTCATGATAAGCCTTTGATGTTATATTGAGATAATCAAGTGGCTATCAACATTGCTCATAATCCAATTTAGCATGACAAGACAAAGCACATTGAGGTGGATAGACATTTTATATGGGAGAGAGTAACTTCAAGGGAAGTATGTCTATCATTCATTGCATCTAAGGAACAATTAGCAAATGTCTTAACTAAGGGAGTTCCAAAGGCAAAGCAACAACACTATATAAGCAAGATGGGCATAATGGACATATATAATAAGCTTGAGGGGGAGTGTAGAGATATTGAGCCGAATGGACCTTAGTCTTTTCTCTTTATTTGTTCGTTTATTAATCTTTATTCCTAGATTAGTGGGCCTCTGTTTATGGGCATATTATTGTTTTCATTCTTTATGTTATTGAGTTAGGTTACCTACTGAGGGCACCTTGTAATTATACTTTAAATTGAGATTAGTTCTAATAAAACACATTTAGAGGGTGAGCCTTGGTGCAACGGTTGGGTTGCTTCATTATGACCTGGGTGATCAGGGTTAAAATCTTGGAAACAGCCTCCCCAAACCCCACATTGGTGGGAGCCTTGTCCATTGGGTTGCCCTTTTCTTCTAATCAAAAACATTTAGGGAACTGGTGAGAGGTATGAACAGATCTCTTCTCCATCTCCCTCTTCTTCCATTCTCTCCTCTCTTGCTCTGGACTCATCTTCTTATTTTCTTCTCACTTCTGTTGATTAAATACTGGATTTATTGTTGTTTTATTCTTCTTTTATGTTAGGCTACACCAAATACCCTTCAACAGTACTTAGCCCTCCTCAATCCTCATAAATGCTGAAACTGGTACTCCCCTATGCAATCCCCTTCTTGATCTGATTCTGATCAGATCTCTCTAGTAGCCAAACAGCAACTCGCCTCAAACAAACATAGTAGGGCATAAAAAAAAAAAAAAAAAAACAGATGAAGCTTCCCTTGGTCCCTACTCCCAAATAGAAACCCTAGAACTGATCTTCAGGGCCAATTGGCATTACAAACTCAGTAAAGGCAGAGTTACTGGCTTTACTGCAAGGAATCCGGTTGGCAAAGCAATTAGGTTTTTGACGGGTGGAAGTTGAAGGTGATTCAAAAGTAGTTATTTCTTGGACAAGATGTAACAGACATATTCCATGGACTCTTAAACATATCTTCAGGGAAGTGGAAAGATTAGCAAAGGATATAAATGCTGAGTTCGGGTGGATTAGGAGGAGAGCATATGGACTACCAGATACTTTAGCCATACAAGGGGCATAAAAAGAAAAGAATTTCGACAGAACTAGTCTTGGTAATCCAGGTCCATCAGGGGTGGGAGAAGTACTGAAGAATGAGAGTGGGAATGTGGTTCTTATTTTCTCAGGACCCATAGGAGTTGGAAACTCTACTAGGGTGGAACTTGCTGCCGCTATCCAGGGAGTACAGTTAGCAGTGCAGATAGGTGTGGAACAGTTGATAATAGAAGGGGACTCCAAGGTGGTAGTGGGCTGGCTACAAAATCCGGAATCTATAGTGTGGTGTTTTAAGAATGAAATTAAAAATTTCAACTGCCTAACAAGAAGCTTGACAGTGAGAATACAATTGGGGAGATCAGCAAACTCTATGGCTGATGGTCTTGCAAAGCAAGGGGTAAATAGGGAAAGTTTGTATTGGGCTCAATTGTAAACTGAATCTGTTTTCTATCTTTTGTCTTTCTTCCTACTGTTAGGAGAGAACGCAGCTCGTGCCTCTCCACGGGAAGCTTGTAACTGCATTAGTTTTTATTAATGAAATTTATCCTTCTTATTTATCAAAAAAAAAAAGAAAAGAACAACAAAACACTTAATTAATCCAGCAGGCCCACATGCCAATCACTCATCACAACACTGGTATTGAACTAAATAGTTACGTGCATAATTGTCATAATCCATTTCTCATTTAATGAAACTATAGAGGCAATTAAAGGAAGAAACCTTTATCATTCTTTACTGATAACTAAATTCAACAGGCAAAAAACTTGAAGTTTTTCAGGCAGAAAATCAAATTAATGCATAAAACAATGATATTAAAGATATCGAAATGCCCAGCAAAGAACATAAGAAAAGAAAAGAAAAGCAGCAACAGTTAAAATCTAGCATTTACATGGACAATACATGGAGAGAAGGGAGGGAGTCGGGGAGATACAAAAATACATATATGAGAGAGAGAGAGAGAGAACCCTTTTGGCTGCTGACAATTTCTTGAAGTGGGGTTGAAACAGGAGAAGGAAGAGACAGAGACCTTATCAGGCGGGTAGAAATCTGCATCTTCTACATAAGAGAATCCTCCAAACTGATAATAAAATGGATAGAATCAGTGCCTTATGCCATGAAATTGGAACATGGAAGCATGAATTATATTACACTGCCACTGGGTGTTTGTAAGCTTGGCTCTACCTTCCATAAAACTAAATCTAGAGTTAAAGTAAACCTATTCATCTTGCACAATACAATGTCATCATGGATGTGGAGACTGGAGAATAGTCTTATCCTCCATTTCCCCCAAAAAATGGTCATGTGGATCTAATTAAAAGCTTAAGGATGTTAACCACCAGCTAAGCCTTGGCCATCTGCAGGTCATAAGGTTTAGGCTGCGCTCAGACTCACTTTGGTTCCATGACAAGCATAAGGTGATCAACACAAGATCAACTTGCAGCAGCACTTTGCAGGCTTAGCCCAGCTCAGCCTGCCATCTCTATATTTCCTGTTGTACCCATTGAGGTACAATTCTACATGGACCAGTTGGCCACAACCAGAGGCTCAGCCTACAATCACAAGAAAACCAACAAGAAACAAGAACATTTATGTTCATTATGATTAATAAATTATGCAAATGAAAAAGATTTCCTAACCAGGTAAAGTCAGAAGCTTCCCTACATGGCCTACCCAGCTTCTGCCACATAGAACAATGATTTGACATATCTCAACCATCCATCACAGAAAGGACCCTCTAGATTGCCCTGGTCAACCTCCAGTCCATGTTAATCCTGTACTTCACACATTGGTGGTTCCCCAACAAATATTAAACGGTCAAAGTTATAAATAGAAAACTTGCCCAAGAAAAGGGCTTATTATTGACATCTGATAAGTGCTTTGTCCAACCATTTGGGATCTTGGGAGGGGTGAACTGGATAAGGACCTAACTTTTGGTCATTTTTTGCACAAATGGTTGTTTCCACAAGATGTGGTTAGCTTGTACAACTCCAACTTCTTGAGGCAACGGAAAAAAAGGGGATGATGTTTATGGAGGGTAAGGTAATAAGAGCAGCTAGAATCCACGACAGTCACTACAAATTTCTGGTTATGCCATTTGACCTAACCAATGCTTCAGTAACATTCCAGATTATAATGAATGATATATTTCATCCTTACTTGAGGAAATCCATTCTGGCTTTTTTATGATATCTTGGTCTACAGCCCTTCTTGGGCCCAGCACATTGAGCACCACGGTACAACTCTCTACTTGTTGTGGCAACATCAATTTCAACCAAGGGATCTAAATGTGTATTTGGTCAGAATAAGGTTCAGTATTTTTTTTAAGATAAACAAAAATAAACATCAACAGGTGTAGAACTTAGAGAGCTAGATTATCAACAACAAATGCAACCCAGAGAAAATCCAAAAGAGATTAAATTTTTCATATTTTCATCAAATATATGCTTTCTTGTTTTAACCTCCAAAAAAAACAAAATATATTGATATACAATTTTTAACTTGATCAAGAAATCAATAGAATTATTACAACTCCTATGCATAATGGACAACTAAACCCAGTCCCCAGATAGCATTTGCCTCTTAAAATGAATTCTTAAGTGAATTGGTTTTCAGGCCTCTCACCAATAATCTCCACAAGAACAAAACCCTTCCCTAAAATGGTGGAATCTCCTTACATCCCTTACAATGATCTCTCTCTCCACGATCTTTGAGATGAACTTAGTTGCCACATGGCAGTCATTACAAACTCTAAGGTTCTTGGTGACTCGAATGGTAGTTCCAGGAGGGGTATTTAGGATACCAAATGCTATAGCCAACCTCTCACTGTGTCCACAAAGAAGATATTCTTTCTCCTCCTCATCTACATTGTGAAGAACACATGAAGTGTCAGGCACATATCCTTCCTTCCTCAACCGTTCTGATAACTCCTCAAGAAAAGCGTGGAGCTGAGCACTTTGTGGGTGTAATATATCCCCAGACAAGAATTTATGAAGTTCATTACCAAGCTCAATCCAACTGCACCCAGGTTCTTTCCTAACACCCATTTCTTTCATATTCTTCCTTACCTCCATTGCCTTGTCCCATAGCCCAGCAGATGAGTAAATATTTGAGAGCAGAACATAGTGGCTGGCCACATTAGGCTCCAACCTAAGCAAACTCTCAGCTGCAATCTCACCAAGCTTTATGTTTTGATGTATCCGGCATGCCCCAAGCAGGCTACTCCAGGCACCTGCCTGGTCGGAACCAGGAGGCATAGCTGTAACTAGTTGATACGCTTCCTCTAATTGGCCAGCCCGACCAAGCAAGTCAACAATGCAAGCATAGTGATCTGGTGTGGGTGCAACACCATGGTCATCCTTCATTCTCCTAAACAATTCTAAGCCTTCATTGACCATCCCAGAGTGACTGCAGGAAGCAAATATTGCAATAAATGTGACCTCATTGGGTTCCACATCCCCTCCCGAGGCTCCTTCAGCCACCATAGTTTTGAATAATTTCAGTGCTTCCTCCCCTCGTCCATGCATCCCATAAGCCATTATGATAACATTCCAAGTGATGACATTGCGTTTGGGTATCTCATCAAACACTCTTCTTGATAAGCTCAAGCAACCACATTTTGCATACATATCAACTAGTGCACTTCCTACAGCAACATCTGATACCAAGGCATTTCTAATGGCATAAGCATGGATCTCTTTCCCTTTTGCTAATGCTGCTAGGGCTGCACATCCAGGAAGAACTGTAATGAGTGTTATAGAATTTGGTCTATATGAAAAACTTTCTTCGTCCTCATAAACATCATCATCCAAATCTTTTTCTTTTGTGACTCTTTGCATCTCCTGTAGCAGAAGAAGTGCATCATCATGCAGATTGTTAATAACATAACCCGTGATCATGGTGTTCCAAGAAACTATATCTTTAACGTCCATGCTCTCAAAAATCTTCCTTGAAACTTCAAATTTCCCCATCCTAGAGTACATATCCATAAGGGCATTTTGCACATATCTGTCCCTCTCAAAACCCCGCTTCACCACGTACCCATGTATACCTTCTTTGCAAGAGAATGCTCCACAACGGACACAAGCTGGTAATATACTGGCTATTGTTGTTGGGTTTGGGTAGAGCCCAGCAACCACTTCCATCTCAACAAAAAGCTTCAGTGCTTCCTCATCGAGTTCACTCTGTGCATAACCAGCAATCATAGCATTCCAAAGCCCAATTCTTCGCTCTGAGATCCCATCAAAAACACGACGACCACTTTCAATCTGCCCACAGTTGCAGTACATATCAACTAGTGCACTACCCACAAAAGAGTTCTCAATGAGATCATCATTTTTCAAGGCATATGCATGAATTTCCCTCCCAATGTCCAACATCTCCAGGTGGGAGCAAGCAGGGAGAACACTGGCAATGGTGACCCCATCAGGTTTAATCCCTTCATGAACCATACGATAAAAAATGGCTAATGCCTCCCCAAACCGATCATTTTGTGCAAATGAGCTAATTATGGTGTTCCATGAAACCATATCACGATTCTCAAAACATTCAAACAATGCTTTTGAGTCGTTCACCCTACCCAATTTAGCATACATTGCCATCAATGCATTATTTGTAAATGTCTTCCCATCACCCCTTCGCAAACTATGCCCATGAACTTCTTTTCCCAAGCGCAAGCCATACCGCCTGATAAGATGGGAACAGGCAAGTGCGATACTAACCAAAGTAAACGAGCTTGGCTGCATATTTTCCAAAAGCATAAGTCGGAAGGCCTCTAGTGCCATGTTCCACTCCTCAAAGCGACACAATGCAGCAATCATTGAATTCCAAGACACTTGATCTCTCTGAGAAATCCTATCAAACAATTGGAGTACATCACCTATATGTCCACATTTCCCATACATGTCCAGGAGGGTGTTGGCTACAGTCACCGAGGATGACTGGTAACCGAGTTTGATGACAGCAGCATGAAGCTGCTTGCCAGAATTCAAGTCCTGGAGGCCGGTAGAAGCCTTTAGGACAGCTGGGAAAGCAAAATTATCAGGCGGAATACCCGCAGTAGTCATTTCAACGTATGTAGATAGCGCTTCTCGGAAGAGATTTGATCGGGTATGTGACCGGAGGGTCTCAATCCACCAGAATGCTGACCGCAATTCAGGCTTAGGTTTGGATTGCTTATTGACGGTGGTGTTGATAAGAGGAGGAAGTTGAGGGCTTCGTTTTTGAATAGTCGGTAGTTGATTTTGGCGGGAAGACAGTATGTGGGAAGGAAGAGGGAGAGAAATGGGAACGAGCCCTTGTGTGGAAGCCATTGGTAGTTATGACAGTTGGGAAAGTTAAAGTTCCAACCATATAGAAGTTATAGCGTTAGAAAGAATGTGCATATCGACATTATCAAAAGTTCAAAAGTTCAGAATAGTTTTCCTGAGCATCAATATAATGGTGGGGAACAGCGAAGTTCCTGAAAACGACCTTGCTCGGCCATTAAGATAAAAGGTCACATACAGTCGAAACAAGAACACTGAAATGTGGAAAACAAGGTCATCAAGCTGGTACCTGAATGATAATGGTCTCGAGACGGACAGTAGGGTCTAAGTTGAGAGCTCCGGACCCTTTTTATTCAGTCTCTGGTTATGCGCTGTGAATGCCTTGGATGTGTAGATAAGATAAGGAAAAGAATAGAGTTTTTTTTTTATTTTACAGAGAAACAAAAATCGGAAATGGAGGAGTTTTGAGGGTGAGAGGGGCTAGGGAGGCATGAGAACTCGTAGCACTGTAGCAGCTTACCTCAAAACTTTTCTCACACTCTCGCTGACCATCAAGCTTCGGGAGCTACTACTACTTACCCACCCACCATTTGATGGTAGTCTTGTTGATGGGACTATAGGAGAAGAAATAAGACCCGTCCGTCTTTGGTTAGCGGGCCTTATTACTTACCACGTGGCTTATATCCGAGAGAATTTTCAATTTCAGAATTTCTTTGCACTAATTTCTCAATTTTTCTTATTTCATGCTCACCACTGCACCAAAAAAAAATGTGCCGACAACGACAACGCCACAACTCCGAGATCACATCTGCGCCCCCACAAACGCCCCACATACACATATCAGCATCCATTAGGAACATCTCCCCAAGTTGTCAACGGGAGATGTTCACAATAAACGGTAGCCAGTAGGGATATGCTATGAGGCGCTTGTAGGGCGTAGATGTAAATTTCACAACTCCCAGGTGCTCAAATTAATCTTGTGGAAATATTTGGGTGGGATGGGGTGTAAAAATTATAGTTTCGCGTGTTTAGTTTTATATATAAAATTGTATATCAGTATCTTGTACTTTATGCTTAGTTTCAGGTCCTTAAACTTTAAAACATATCACTCTAGTACCTAAATTTTTAAAAGGAGTCAATTTAGTCAAAAATCGCTAATCATCATCAAGTGACATATGAAAGAATACAAATGTCCTTGGGTGTCATTTAGTTTTCTTTACCAAACATCCAAATGCCCAAATCTAATGTGTTATTAAAGGAGCAAAGCGTGTGTTGACACTGTTGGACTTAAGTTTGGATTAGCTGAATGCCCCTTGCTATTTAGCAGGTTGTAGGGCCAATTATAATAAAACACATCAGCTCAACACATTCAAGCTATTCCATTTGCAAGTCTCTCTAATGGAGATTGACTAGAGTTTTTCAAATTTTTTACTAGCGTAGGGGGGCCTTGCATTGAAGGGGCTTGCTCATAAACCATCAGGCTCGAGCTCGATTCGATTTAGAAACTTGAGCTTGAGCTCGACTCAAGTCAAAAGCTCGGCTACCTTAGAGTATAGATCTCCCTAGCGGCTGAGGTGTCGAGTCAAGGTCTCCCTCAATTGTCGAGGTGTCAAGTCGATGTCTCCCTTAGGTGCTGAAGTGTCGAGCTGAGGTCTCCCTTAGTTGACGAGGTGCTAAGTTGAGGTCTCCCTCAATTGCCAAGGTGCTGAGCCGAGGTCTCCTTGAATGGCTAAGGTGCCAAGCCCAAGTGAGACCCTATGTATACACTCGATTAGGCTTGTGAGACCTTTGATTGTAGGCTTCCCTAACAACTGAGGCACTGAGCCGAGGTCTCCCTTAGTTGACGAGGTGCCAAGCTAAGGTCTCCCTCAGTTGTCGAGGTGCTAAGTCGAGGTCTCCCTTAGTGGTCAAGGTGCCGAGCCGAGGTCTCCCTCAGTAGCTGAGTTGACACCCTATGTACACACTCGATTAGGCTCGTTGGACCTTTGATTGCAGGTCTCCCTAGTAGTCGAGGTCTCTCTCAACTGCTGAAGTGTCGACCTGAGGTTTCCTTAGCAGGCGAGGTGTCGATATGAGGTCTCCCTTAGTTGACAAGGTGCCAAGCTAAGGTACCCCTCAGTTGCTGAGGTGCTGAGCCAAGGTCTCCCTTAGTGGTCAAGGTGTTGTCAAGCTCGAGCTTGGCTCGAGTCAAAAGCTCGGAAGTTCGATCTTAGCTTGGCTCGAGCTCGACTACCTTTGATTGCAGGTCCCCTAGTAGCCGAGGTCTCCCTAGTAGTCGAGGTCTCCCTCAGTTGGAGAGAGTGTCATTCTTGTAATTTTTAAGGAAAAATTGAGAGAGACAGACAGAGTTGGCAGGAGAGAGAATGACATTCTTGTAATTTAAAAGGAGAGAGAGAGAGAGTTGGTAGGAAAGAGAGTGGCATTCTTGTAATTTATAAGGAAAGAAAGAGAGAGTTGGTAGGAGAGAGAGAGAGAATTGGTAGGAGAAAGAGTGACATTCTTGTAATTTGTAAGGAAAAGAAGCAAAAATTACTATCATATTCCATTTCTTGCATCATGAGGCTTCTTTCATACACATTGGAGCTCACTCATAAACTATCAAGCTCGAGCTCTCGAGCTCAATTCGATTTAGAGACTTGAGCTTGAGCTTAGCTCGAGTCAAAATCTTAGAAGTTTGAGTTCAGCTACTCTCCCTAGCAGCCGAGGTCTCCCTCAGTTGCTGAAGTGTTGAGTTGAGTTTCCCTAACAGGCGAGGTGTCGAGCTAAGGTCTCCAACGAGGTGCTGAGCTGAGGTCTCCCTCAGTTGTCGAGGTGTTGAGCCGAGGTCTCCCTCTGTGGTTGGGGTGTCGTAGAGCTCGAGCTCGATTTGAATTAGAGACTTGAGCTTGAGCTTGGCTCGAGTCAAAAGCTCAGAAGTTCGAGCTCAGCTACCTTTGATTGTAGGTCCCCTAGCAGCTGAGATGTTGAGCCGAGGTCTCCCTCAATTAGAGAGAGAGTGTCATTCTTGTAATTTCTAAGGAAAAAAAGCAAGAGAGACAGAGTTGGTAGTAGAGAGAATGACATTCTTGTAATTTGCAAGGAGAGAGAGAGTTGGTAGGAGAAAGTGGCATTCTTGTAATTTATAAGAAAAAAAAGCAAAAATTACTATGAGATTCCATTTCTTGCATCTTGTGGCTTTCTTTTGTAAGCATTCCAACTTAATATATTTATATTGATATTTCTTTTCTTTTCCTTTTTTTTTTTGCTTTTTGTCTCTCCCGTGCCCTAACCCTATCCTTCCCCTCCCCTTTTTTTCTCTTCTGCCTTCACCCTCTACCCCCCTTTTCACCAATCAACTTCAATAGTCCTTGCCATTAACCTTCAACTTCCACTACAGTCTCTCTCTCTCTCCCCTATTATCTTAGTCTTCTTCTACTACAAAGACGTTGTTGTGGCTCCTTTGCACATTTGAGCACCTTATACACCCAATGACAACATCATGAACCAGGCAAGATGTAGAACCTTGGAACTTTGTTAATAGCCAAAGCTCTACTTTTTGGTTATTGGTTCGTATGGCTATCAGAAACTGATTTAAGAACATTTTCAAGAAGCCAAATCTCAGAGCTTCAAGAATCGCCCCTAAACATGAAAATGGGGTGACAGTCTTCTATTGTTTTTTTAAGAAACAAACTTACTAAATTCAATTGATAGGGAAGCTGCTCTCTGCAGACTTCGTAAGAGAAGTCTAGTACCCGAGCTGGATTGCAAATCTGGTGCAGGTAAAGAAGGCCAACGGCAAGTGGCGCATGTGCGTCGACTACACCGACTTGAACCGAGCCTGCCCTAAAGATAGTTTTCCTCTCCCTCGGATAGACCGCCTGGTAGATGCGACCTCAGGGTTTGAGCTCTTGAATTTTATGGATGCTAACCTGGCTACAATCAAATCTCGATGGACTCGACAGACCAAGAAAAAACTGCTTTTGTAACCGAGATGGGCTTGTACTGTTACAAAGTCATGCCTTTCAGATTAAAAAATGCTGGAGCAACTTTCCAGCGACTTGTAAATAGTGTATTTTTATATTTAATCGGAACTAAAGTTGAGTGTTATGTTGATGACATGGTTGTCAAGACTTAGTTTTTGAATGATTTAATTGCCGACCTAGACCTCATTTTCAATGTTTTAAGAAAATATAACCCAAACAAGTGTGTATTTGTTGTGACCTCGTGTAAGTTTATCAGATACATTGCCAACCGACGTGGTATCGAGGCCAACCTAGAAAAATTCTAGGCAATACTAGATATGCGACCTCCTAGCTCAGTTAAGGAAGGCCAAAAACTAACTGGTCGAGTAGCTGCCCTAAGTCGATTTATGTCTAAGTCGGCTAGGAAATGTTTACCATTTTTCAAGGAAATAAAAAAGAACCAAGACTTTAAGTGGATCGAAGAGTGTCAGCTCGCCTTTGACGAGATAAAAAGATACCTAAGTTCACCCCCCTTGTTAACTAGACCAGAGACCGGGGACGAGCTTAAGCTCTACCTCTTTGCGATTGACGAGGTAGTCAGCTCGGTCCTAATAAGAGAGGTAGGAAAAATTCAGCGACCTGTCTATTACGTGAGCAAGGTCCTGCACGCTGTTGAGACTAGGTACCGAGACATAAAAACGTTAGCTTTTGCCTCGGTGTTAGCAACCCGGAAGCTAAGACCCTACTTCTAGGCCCACACTATCGTAGTCCTGACCGATCGACCTCTAAGACAGATCCTTCAGAAGCCCGAGGTCTCGAGTAGACTAACGAAGTGGGCAATTAAGCTCAACGAATATGATATCCGTTATGAGTCGCGACTAGTGATAAAGGCGCAGGTCCTGGCTGACTTTATCGCCAACTGTACCTTTAGCTCACCGACCCCTGAAGTTACTGAGCAAGCAACCACTTCAGAGGCTTCAACCAGTGCAACACCTACCCTAGCTCGGGAAATCCCGACCTGGGACGAGGAGCCCTAGATACTCCATGTGGACGGCTCATCCAACCACAGCAAGTGGTGTTGGGTTGATACTCTATGGACTTAGCGAGGTGAAACTGGAATATGCATTCTAGTTTTTATTCCGAACTTCAAACAATGAGGCCAAGTATGAGGCACTTATAGTCGGACTGTCGCTGGCAAAGGAAGTTAGGGCCAAACATCTCATGGTTTGCAGTGACTCACAGCTTGTGGTAAACGAAGTGAATGGATAATATGAGGCTCGGGAACCTGCCATGTCGGCTTACTTGGCCAAGGTAAGGGAACTCTTGCCCAACTTCCACTCTTGGCATCTCCAACAAATTTCAAGATCGGAAAATACTGAAGCCGATGCCCTTTCCAAGTTAGCCAGTACAATTGATTCAACGAAGAGGATGGTCTACATAAAAGATTTACCTTGCCCCTTAATAGAGAAGGGGGTGGAAGAGGTCGCCCAAATAACTACAGCAGAACCGAGCTGGATAGATCCACTTGTCGACTACCTACGACAAGGTATATTGCCAAAGGAACGAAATGCAGCTCGACGAATAGAGCGACAAGCAACTCATAACATGATTGTAGGCAAGCAACTCTACAGAAGATCTTTCA